GCACCGAGGACCTATCCACGTCATCATTTACCCAGAATGCTTTGTGTGCAAATAAAATGGCTCCGTCTGTGTAGCATGTTTAAAAAAATAGTTTAAAAATGATAAAAACTAAACAGCTACAGTATTTTTATAGTCTTTATTTTACAGTTAAATTAAATGCTTATTAAATAAAGTCTAATGTTACAACTAATCCTGGATCCCTTTAAAACAGAGACGTTAATGCTTGACAGAAAAGAACAGCAGAAGAAGAAACCTGATGTTCTGCAGGTGAGCTCACCTGGGACAGTAACGTCTGGGTGAAGGGGAGCGCTGCAGAGGCCAGAGACCTGGTCCGTTCTGCAAGCAGCAGCTCAGAACCCATCACGTCTTTGGGACTTATGATGTCCCAGTCCTCCATGACCGGACCTGCAGAGAAACCAAAGGTCTGGATGAACCTGGGTTCTTCTGGGTCTGCTACAGGTCAGGTGTTGCTGTAGGGACGAAGCTGTTCTTACTGTCCTCTGAGGGTTTCACGTCCATCTTCAGCTGCAGGAACGGTTTGGCTGCACTCATGAAGGCCACGTCCAGGTCCCAGTCCGACAGCAGGGACAGGTAGGTCTCCACGCCGCTCCGGTCTCGGGACAGGTAGCTGACGGTGAAGTTGCGCTTCCTGTGATGAGGTGAACATGTTAAGATGAGCGGTGAGGATCTGCTGTACGGACCGACGTTAACAAGCGCTCGTACCCGTTCAGCTCGAAGGCTCTGAGGAGGATGTGCTGCAGGACCTCCAGAGACGTGATCTGAGGGTCCACAGCGAAGGACCGGAACTCTGTGGGCAGAGCGCTGTCGCACTTCTGTAAGAGATCACATCAAACCAGATGTTTACACAGCCGAAACCAGATGTTTACATATATGTTTACACACAGCCCGAAACCAGATGTTTACACAGCCGAAACCAGATGTTTACATATATGTTTACACACAGCCCGAAACCAGATGTTTACACAGCCGAAACCAGATGTTTACATATGTTTACACACAGCCGAAACCAGATGTTTACACACAGCCCGAAACCAGATGTTTACACACAGCCTGAAACCAGATGTTTACATATGTTTACACACAGCCAAAACCAGATGTTTACACACAGCCAAAACCAGATGTTTACATATGTTTACACACAGCCGAAACCAGATGTTTACACACAGCCTGAAACCAGATGTTTACACACAGCCAAAACCAGATGTTTACATATGTTTACACACAGCCCGAAACCAGATGTTTACACATCCAAAACCAGATGTTTACACATCCAAAACCAGATGTTTACAGATGTTTACACACAGCCAAAACCAGATGTTTACACATGCTTACACACAGCCGAAACCAGATGTTTACACACAGCCAAAACCAGATGTTTACATATGTTTACACACAGCTGAAACCAGATGTTTACACTCAGCTGAAACCAGATGTTTACACACAAGGTTTCTTCAAAGTCTTCATACACTTTGTGAAATTATACTTTATAACTTATAAGTGTGTTAGAATTTAAGATTTTTGATTTAATTATAACATTGAGTTGTTCTGCAGTAAACTCTGTTCATCAGTTTAATAAATATTGTTTATTATTAATTTGTTTGTTTAGTCTTTTCTTGTTTATACTACGTTTTATTTCAATAAATTTAAATTAATTAATGTCCCACAGCAGCTGCACATCTTATTGCCTCCTCTCCAGGTAACATTTGACGTCACGACCGACGCTGTGTGCACACACACGCACGCACACGCACGCACACAGGGGGGGGAGGTGACGTCACCCCGCTGCTTCAGTGAAACTAAAAACCAGAGGAAAGTGAACCTGCTGAGGTTTTATCGATCCAAAATAAGCTGATCGATCAGAACCTCCCGCTGATGATGAACAGCATGGTTCAGGTAAAAACAAAAACAATGTTGGAGGTAAACACCTGACACACAAACACACACACACGGATGATTCGTTTGTTTCTCAGCTCTCATGAACAAAAACAAACATTTATCCGTCCCTGTTTCCTTTATCGGACGGGGAGAACCAAACACCGACAGACAGAACCGGTAAACAAACATCCTACCTTGACTTTGACCCGAACCACCCCCCTCTCCTCCTCGCCTGCCATCTTAAAGGTCCGTTTGGGTTCAGAAAGGATTCTTTTGTTTCCTCCTACATCGATACGGTCATGATTGAGCTACCTAACACAGAGAGAGAGGAGCAGCTGCTCTTCTTCTGCTGCTCTCATCTCCACCGGAAGCGGAAACACCGAACCCTGCTGGCCAGTGTTGGCATTACTCTACATTTACAGAAACTGCTTTAGGTCATGCACATGAAGTTTTACATTTTTTAATTTACTCTATTTTACGCATAAATATGTTAGTTTTAATGTTACGACGTTCTTAGTACTGATATTTTATCGCAAGTAAATTACATAAAAAGACAGAGAAAAAAGTAACAAAGGTTAAATAAATATGTGGGAAGAAACTCACAGATATCCTAATGACTTCATTTATGTCTATGAAGAAATAGACCAACAAATTCAGATTTTAAATGTCAGATTTAGATTTGTTTTGGTAAGTTTATATTACAAGAAAAAGAAAACAAAATAAAACACTATTTTTTAAATACAAATCAATAATTTACCAAAAACGGAGTAGGCTGAAGCCAAGGCTTATACATACCTACCCCATTCAATGACTCTCAGTATACAAAAAATAAATATATCTACTGTCCATATACATACATACATACATACATACATACATACATACATACATACATATGTAACGGGTTTAAGAAATACTTTGATTGTTGTTGTGAAATTCCTGCTAAAATATGTATCACTGATTTATTTCTGTGATGAGTGGATTTTAGCGCTCCCTACTGGTAGTCTATAAAAGTGACAG